TGTGTGTGTGTGTGTGTGTGTGTGTGTGTGTGTGTGTGTGTGAGAGAGAGAGAGAAAGTCTCTGCATGGGAGCAGGCTGTGGTCAAAGTACTGCTAGTTTAACACACCATAAGTAGGAACTTGTCTTTGTCATTGGTATTATACAAAATATATGCGTAAACACACAACACTGCTATTTCTGCAGCCACAGTTGAGAATGTGAATTGAATTCTTTTACTGTAACACAAATCTTTACAATTCATTTTGTTGTTACTCTGTTGTTGTATAAACTTCAAATGAATTGTGAAATTGATGCTACAGTGTGTTCTGCTTCTCTGACAGAGGACTCCTCAGGAATGGAAATGGACCACATGCTTACAGTGTCCATGGTGCCTGATGCTTTAGCTCTTGAGAAAGGTATTGGCTGAGTTTGGCTTTGGATCAGTCTATCACCACGGGGCTTGGATAGACTCTGCATGCTCATTGTTCGTTTACTGTTACAATGCACTGTTTGTTTGTTGCGTGTTTATTCACAGTGCGTTAGCTTGCCAGCTATTTCCCTTCCTCTTTACTCTTGCCTGTGGTCTTCATGTTGTTTCTTCTGTTGGACGGTTGGCTTGCTTGGTCTTGGTTCATCACTGTGGTTTTGGATCRTTTCTGTTCTAGGCTGTTTTCAATCACTTTTATTCCAAAAAACCTCACTGCATTACTAAGCTACAGAGAATGCTCTTGCTTAAAGTTTCACTCTATTTCTGTGCTGTGTAAAATGGCTTTGTTATATAAATTTTAGCTTCAACCAAGCACCCGCTGAATAAAAATATAAAAGCTTCAGAACCTGGTTGATATTAACATTTTCATTTTGGTGTTTTACTACTACTATTGGAATGCCTTCAGAAGTCAAATGCAAAGGTACATTGAACTTTAAAATATTGTCTTAGTGTTTTTCTTTGCCGTGCACTGAGCTGGTGGTATTTGTGTGGACCATGATGTAATGCCAAGGTCCACTGGTGTAGCACGGGACTAAAACTGTGCTGAAAGGGGAAAGAGCTCGTAAAATTTCACCCACTAAGACCCTACACATCTGTATGGGTTGGAGACATATGAAATGGTTGTTGTCACACATGGAAACTACGAGTAGCGAAAACACAGCTTTGACTGTTGGTTGCTTACAAAATGAGCTCACACATCTGGTCAGAATTAATTAAACAACTCTGACATCCTTGTTGCTCAGTCTTTGTGACCATTGCAGAGGAGGAAAGAAACTCAGCTTTGTATGAGGGGGCAAATACTGTCAATCTGTTAATCTATTGTTTTTTCAACTTATGTGCTTCTTTGAAGAAATGTTTATAAAAACCACATTGCCGCCATCTACTACTTCCACTACCACCACCACTACAACCACCATGACCACAACAACCACCACGACGATCCCACCTCCAGATACTAGAGTGGCCAACAGGGGACCTTTATCTGAGTTTGATCTCAGTGGGAAGAAGCGCTTCACAGGTACTCATCGTCCATCAAAAGTCATTAATTTTTGTGGTCTTTCACCAAAAAAGACACCTGCAATCCTCACTATGTTGCATTTATGTGGTAGTCCTGTCAAAAACCTCTTCATTATGCTAGCAAAGTTCAAGCATTTTTCTGTCACACACGTCATGGCACCACGCCCCCCACTTTGGGGGAAGAGCTAGGTAGGACATCTGACTTTTTCTGACTCTTACCCACATTGTGGCCACATGTTCCCATTGAGTAGAGCATTAAGGAGACGCTAAATGGTTGTAATCAATTTAGAAACATGCAAACAAATTAGAGAATTTGTTTAAAACTTCCTGGAATGTGTAAGCAGTGCAACAAAACTTCAGTGTTGAAAGAAACCTGGCAACAGAGGTCCAGATATGCAAGACTAATAAGCTCCTGAGCCCAATATTAAAACTGGCATTTGCATTGGAAGGTTGGACCCAAAGATGAGCTAAAATAACAGTAAATATTGGACAATGATTTGCCAGAAAACACCAGGAATGTTTAAAGGGAAACAAAGATCCGTGTTCTGTTTATGGCTTATTTTTACAGCCACAAGCGTCCAAAAGAACTCGATACTGTTGGTTTGATGTAATCTTTTCCAGAAGGAAGCCTCGAGTTCCCAACCCTGGATCTTTGGTTTTCCTTTATGAACGAAACATCTTTGTCAGTGGGAACACTAGGTTCCCATGTAAACAATAAATCGGAACTTTATTTATTTCATGACAAACAAACCGTTTTCCAGTGCCTAAAAGTCCAGAGTGAGGGTTTACCAATGCATTCTCTATGATGGTTTCCTTTAAAGAGCTAGACTCAGCACAGACAGCTCAAATATTCCAGAAATACATTTTTTTTATCCAATAGTTGTGGTCTTTATTCAAAATACAAAAACTAAACCTTACTGTTTTTGTTGCTGTGCTCATGATTGATCTCTGAGTCACACTTTGATGTGTTAATATTTGTTGAGTGTGTGTTAATTAAGGTTTTCTCAGTGCTGTTAATACAACAGGCTCTGTTCCCTTCTGTGGCAGAAAAATATGTTTAAATGTTCATCTTGGCAGGATCCAACCGTTGCCTGAGTTTCTTTTACAAACCAAACATAGTTGTGCACCAGTATTCCAAGGTTCTGTAACTAAATTGACTTCGACACGTGAAATTGCTTCATTGCAGTTCATTTAAAATGGTAACGTGGCTCCTGCTTCAGAGGATTTGAGTGGGATAAAGCTCTTTGCACAGTCAGGATAATCAGAGTTAAGGTTTATGTCTGACGAACCTACAGCGATGTGGGCTGCTTCAGCTTGTAATTCTTGAGTAACTGCTCTGCTTTTSTGTTACAGACAGATTGAATGCATATTGTCACAATCGTTTTATTTTGATTTCTAGTTGAAAACTTTTGCATTTAAATGTCAAAATATTTATAGGAGACGCAGTTGCATTACCATATGAAAGCCATTATTCTGCCATAAGTCTAAAATGAAAATCATAAAAAATAATAGCGCTGATCTCAGCAGAAGATGAATCTCTTGGCTCAAATCAGAGACTTCCTTTCCCCTGTTTTTAGTCTATATTTATACTTTTGGGCCCTGCTCAGGCCTGAACACGGCCAAGCTGAAAATGTTATGACCGGGAAAAGAAGAAACCCCTCAATTCGTCTTGTTTAGTCTTTGAAGATCAACAACGGGGTCATATTTTATTTTAAATCTCGCACAACCTATAAATTAAATAACTGTTTTCCTGCCCTCAGCTCCCCATGTGAACTACATCCAGAAGGATCCAGGTGCTCCCTGCTCCCTAACCGAGGCTCTGGAGTACCTTCAGTTCGACATCCTGGAAGACGTGATAAAGAAGGACAGCATGGCAGCCAATCAGAATCAGCCTCCTAAACACAAGCCTCATAACCTCACAGTGGTGGCCATGGAAGGCTGTCACTCTTTTATCATCCTGGACTGGGCTCAACCTCTGAAAGATGATATGGTCTCAGGTAAGMAAGGTTTTCTTTTGCCAGAACAAAAATTGCACACCAACACATTTTCAGTTAGTTGCACAGAAAAAAAAAATGATGTGAATCAATGCAAACAAAAACTAATAATTTATTTGCTTCTATTTRCTAGTGAGTCCTATTGGAGTCTTAATAGCACTGATGTATTAAATCATCTTTATCTTCATCTTGTCTTCTTGCCTATTAGCAATGGTGTTTACAAGTAGTGAATATTTTGTGGTTGATTCAGATTTAGACTTATTTTCAGAGTTGTAAAGTAACTAAATGATAGCGAACAGAAACAGAAAACTAACAGAAAACTCTGATAGCGTATTATTTTGTACACAAACAAATCATGTCACACTCCAGCAGGACATAATCATTCAAATAAAAGAACTGTAC